AAGACCTTAGTTTGGTCAGAATTAGGATGTGGCAACCTTCCAGTGTTCTATGATGTTATATGATAAATTGAAATAGAAGAAAAGCTGCATTTGTCTGCCATCCACTTAAAAGGATCAATACATCACCATTGAATGAAACAAGTACCACTTCAAAGTGTCTGAGGAACCAACTTTAAATACAGTGTAAGAAGTAAAGTAAGGAACTGTCGTATGCCTCAGGGCAAATACACTTACCATTTAAATGCAGGTTTCCCTGGAGAAACCCTGAGTGAATGTTAGTCTAGTTGTGTCAAAAAGCCGTAATACAAATGCCTGCATAGCCCAGTAAAAAGAAAAAGGATGGCATTGAATCTTTGAACATACTTGCAAATTAGCTATGCTGTAGTAATTTGTATAAAGATTTCTCTTAAGATCAGCAGCTAAGTAACACACACTACAGTAGATTATGTTTTGACCTGCAACATTGTTTTATGCAGAAATCAATGAAATCATCACCTCTTCCAAAGATTTGATTCAAGTGGCAATTCCAAGATGTTTCCTTGTTGTTTTAACAAAGGATTTCCAGCTTTATTATTATGGATTTATTTGAAATACATAAGAGTGGGGAGGGGGGTTTCTCCTTGTATAGATATCCTGGACTGAAAGGGCGATATGCCCCATTCTCTCCTCAGGTGGTGGAGGCTTCCACTTTAACAGGTGGAACCACGGCCATCTGCAGAAGTCCAATCATTTTATGGTCAATCAAGTACATATACTATGCATTTTGAAACTTCCTTCAAGTCAGTTAATGACTTGGAAAACAGAGAACAGATACATTTATTGTCTACATGAAAATATACTAAAGTCACATTAGTTTCATTGGTTGAAAGTTAGAATTAACCTATGAAAAATAAAGTGAGGGGAACAGATAAATCCTCTTTTTTGAATATCTATTGGGACATTTCAAGCACCTTTCAGGTGTTATAATTACCTAGAAGACGTCTTTTCAACAAGCAGCATAGAAAATTCGGTTCTCTGGATAGGAATTCACATTCTTTTGAAAGAGCCTAACCATTTAGTGATCTCAGTAGCATCTCAAAAATATCAGATGACAACTGATATTAACAACTGCTTTCCAAACACAGCCTGGAGGAAAAAACATATTTCTAGCTGCTCCATACTGCTTAGCATAAAATAATCATACAAACAATTTAAAACACAAAGCTATTACCTGATGGCTCAGCGATAAAAGTATATGTCTGCAATGCAGAAGACATAGGTGATGAGGGTTCGATCCCTGGGTTGGGAAGAGCCCCCTGGAGAAGGCAATGGCAACCCACTCCAGTATTCTTGCCTGGAGAATTCCATGGGCAGAGCAGCCTGGCGGGCTACAGTCCATGAGGCCACAGAGTCGGACATGAATGAGAACAGCACACACATTGCAAAGTAGGTACTGAGCAGATGCTTGAATTGAATTAGTGTTGCAAGCAACTTATTAGTTGTCTAATGGTGAATAACAAATCACTTCAAGATTTAATGACTTTAAAAATTATAATGAATTTATAGCTCTCATGATTTCTGTGGATCATGAGTTTGGAAGCCACCCTCATGAGCTTGTGTTCTACAGGCTGTGGATACAGTCGCTTTAAGGCACGGCTGATATGTACCCTGGATTTAATCTCTGGCATGCAATTGTTTGCTCTCTGCTTTATCCCACTAAACTGTAGGTTTCATTCAGGATTTTTCTGTGGGGCATTTTTTGTACTTAATTCCCAATATTTAGAAAAATACTTGGCAGAACATCTTCGAACAATATTTGTTCGACGAATGATGTTGTGTTTGGAAATTCTTCCCCGTTAACAAACAACATTTTTAGAACTTGATCAAATTTTTTGTTAAGAAAAAGGATGGTGTCTCATGAAACACACAGGAGAGGGATTATTATTGAAAAAGAATGAAAATAAACTATTATGATGCAAGGTTTCTAACTTTCTTCTAAAGATAACTTTGATAATTCATTGTAGACACCTGTTTGTTTCCAAAGTGATATTTCAAGAAATCAGTTGTAGGGGTAATTGTTTTATAGCAGACTTAAATATATATACAATTTGATTTGTTCTCGTCAAGTTTGGTGGCTTAGATGGTGGGGCGTCTGCCTGAAATGCAGGAGACCTGGGTTCGATCCCTGGGTTGGGAGGACCCCTGGAGAGGGAAATGGCAATCCACTCCAGTAGTCTTGCCTGTGGAATCCCATGGACAAAGGACCCTGGTAGGCTGCGGTCCATGGGGTCGCAAAGAGTCGGACATGACTGAGCAACTTCCCTTTCCCTTTCCCCTATATATATATATATACAATTTTATATATACTATACATACATATATATATTTATAGTAATATATATTATATATATGTCTAGGCTATAGATTCTTCTTCAGCTTCAGACTGAACTTACTGAACCAGACACTAGAGCAGTGAGATGTAAAAAACAAGACTCTTCTAAGACAACTACATTATCTCCCTTTGAGTCTTTACTTTTGTTGTTGTTGTTTAGAACTGAGTAATGGAGTCAGAGCAAGAAATCCAAGCTCCTGGATTCCTCAGCTGTGTGATATTAAACAAAGTTCTGGACTTCAGTCTTTCCTCATAAATAGAAATACAGATAATGACGTTACTTGATTTTGTGTCCACATCAAAATTCGTATGTTGAGAGTCCTAACCCCCAGTATCTCAGAATGTGACTGTATTTGCAGATAGGGTCCTTAGGTAATTTAGGTATAGTGTCGCAAATAGTCAGACACGACTGAGCAACTGAACTGAAATTGAAACTGAACTGAGGTCATATGTGTTGGTCATAATTCAGTATGCTCAGCATCCTTAAAAGAAGAGGGATTGGGACACAGACACAAGCTTGCCCAGAAGGAAGGCGAGGAGAAGACCTGGGGAGATGTATCTCTAAGCTAAGGAGAAAGGCCTCAGAAGAAGTCAACCTCGTTGACACGTTTATCTTGAACTTCTAGCCTACAAAACAGTGAGAAAATAAAATTGCATTGTTTAAGTTACCAGTCTGACCACAAATTCGGTGGCTTAAAATGATAGAAACGGGTTCTTTCCAGGCTTGGAAGCCAGAAGTTTGAAATCGGGCTCACTGGAGTAGAACCAAGACGGTGGTAGGGCTGCACTCCCGCGGGAAGCTCTGGGGGGATGTGCCTTCCTGTCTCTTCCAGCGTCTGGGGTTCTGATGTTCCTCGGCTGAGGGCTGCGCCTCTACGAGCTCCGCCTCCACGATCAGGTCCCTCTGCCTCTCTCTTCTTTGTCTTCCCTCTGCCTCTCATTTAGATTGACATTTGTGATTGCATCCAGGGCCCACCAGGTTAATCCAGATCATCTTCCTTGTTGAGACCTTCCCTTAGTCACTTTTATAAAGACCCTTTTCCATATACGCTACCAGTTACGGATTCCAGGGATTAGCACCTGGCATTGTCGGGAGCCGTGATTCAGCCTGATTGGGGGACGCATTCAGATCCGCACGGAGAGAACACGAGCTGCCTTCCTGTGCTGCTGGTGTTAGCAATGCTGAATGAACAAGATGTTCAGCGTACCTGCTCACGTTGAGATCAGGGAGAGGAGAGGAGTGGCAAAGACAAGACTGAGCCTGAAAATCCCTCACAGAACTTTTCTATAGTGACTTCCATTTTGAGCTTTAGCGTCCTATTTTATAGTTTCAGGGTTTATATTTTGGAGCGGAAATGAGTAATTTGGATGTGAAAGAAGGATATGGATCTAGCCAATAAGTGTTGGCAAGTGTTGTGCCCAATTTTGCCATTCACTGTAGAACTTCACGTACCAGAATCCTGCTTTCTGCTGTCTGTCCATCCTTCCGCCTGACAGAGATGACAAGTGACTGCGTGTTAGAGCAGCTGATGTTTGTGTGGGAAGAGCACTTCCAGCCTCTGAATCCCTGGTGGCCAAGGGCTCAGATGGGAAGTGGCAGCTCAGAGTCTCCTTTAACGCTTTTATGCCACTGGCGGCCTCTTCCTTTCACGGAAAATACGAGGTGCCTCTGTGTCCCGTTTTCCCAGCACATGAGGGCTGCGCCGTTGGCTCCTTGGATGCTAGCTGAGATGAAGCCTCTGCCACTTCCAAAATGAGGTCAGAAGTTGCTAACTCCTGGGGATGCCGATAACATGATAATAATAATGCCTCCCGGATTCCCTGGTTGGCTCAGTGGTAAAGAATCGCCTGCTAACACTCACCCCGGGGTGGTGCTCATGTGCTCACTCTCAGCCCTTTCAACTGCTTCCTCTGTTGGGCCCTAAATTTGGGAGTAGGGGCCAGTATCTCAGGCTGGCAAGGGCTTGTCTTCTGTCTTGGGCACCTCATTGCTGTGCCACCCCCGCCCGCCCCCAGTCTACCCTCCCAGTATGGGGAAGCCCATCTCCATTCCTGTGAGCCGGTTGTCTGGAAAGCTGAGATGCGTGTCTGGTCTGTGCTCCGACAGTGGAATCTGAGGCCTCTGCCGGTGGCCGCCCCGTGCTGCACCACACATGGGACACCCGGAGCTCCGCCTCCCCTAACCACCCCTGTTCCTTCAGGTTGCTTGGCCCTGTGCTGTTTGCAGCACCACAGTAACCTCAGTGTTTGTCCTCTGCTGGGTTTGGGGTCACAGGAAGCCTGGAGGGTGTGGGGAAGGGCTGTTCTCTAGAGTTTACTCCCAGGCCCGGGGGCTGCCATCCCCTCCCTGACCCTCCCCACAAACACCCCAGAAAGAAGCCCCTTTGGGGTGGGGAGGTGAGGACTTCATCTCAATACAGGCTGGGGATGGGGAGGGGGGCTTTTTTTCTTCCTTTTTTTTCTTTTTTTTTTTTTTGTGTGTGTGACATGTTTGGAGTTAATGTTGCAAAGAGTAGTTTACATCTTCACTTTCTGAAGACACTTGAATTTAGGACCGATGTATCTGTGACAAGCATGCCAGGAGTGGCAAAGGACATCAGGGCTTGCCACTTCACACCTACCATCCTTTATGGGGATCCGAGATCTGAGACAGAGCAACAGCCTGCCCCAATCCTTCCATTCATCCTGTACCTTTCCGAGATGGGTCCACACCAACATGACCTTTGGGCCTCAAACCTCAGAAGGTCTGTGTACCTCAGCTCTGCTCAGAGGCAGGTTTCTCCCGCTGTCTCCTGAACCTGGGAGGAAAGGCACTCCGGGTAGAGAGGGGTTGCCCGACGCTTCCGCAGCCTGGACCCCTGGGGCTCAGATCCCGGGAGGGAGCCCCCATGTCAAAATTGTTATGTTTTTGTTCTGTTCTATTGTAGTTCTCTCCCCTTTCCTGGTGATTGATTTTACAAAAGAAAGCTGCTCAGAAAGCCCTGGCAGTGGGAGAAGGGGCAAAGAAGACTAGTTAGGGAGGGTGGGCTGGTTTTTTGCCAAAAGCCTGGGTAGAGTGGTCTGGATCATTTGGCACCCTCCCAAATGGGACCCCAAAGTATCTCGTGTGGGAGGGTCCCAGGATTTGCCCCAGCCCCACCCTCTCCTTCAGCCACATTGATGGCAGAGGCAGAGAAGATCAGAACATAGAGCCCATTCTGACTGGAGAGGAAAACTTGTCATCTGGCTTTGCGGAGAAGGTTCCACCTTATGCTCATAGTACATTATCTTTACCATGTGCTAGGATATCACATTTACAAGGAAAAAAAATGTAAAATACTTGAATGAGCTTGTATTATAACATTAATATTATTGAGAGTATCTGCTTTCCAGGCTGAAGTGATTCATTCATTATTCTAGTCCTGCTTTAGTCGTTTGTAATTTGTGGTAATTATGCTTTTCTTTTTAATACAAAAAAAATGTATAAAAATAAAAACTTGAAAAGGCAAAAAAAAAAAAAAGAATCGCCTGCTAATGCAGAAGACGCAGGAGATGAGGGTTCGATCCCTGGGTCAGGAAGATCCCCGGAGAAGGGAATGGTAACCACCTCCAGTATTCTTTCCTGGAGAACCCCATGGACAGAGGAGCCTGGCGGGCTACAGTCCATGGGGCCACAAAGAGTCGGACACGGCTCACAGACAGAGCACGTGTAGACAGTACACAGGGTTTCCCAAATGGGGCCTGCATGTGAGTCTCAAACTCCCTAGAACCAAATTTAGAGACCTCCCTGCTCTATACAATCACTCCTACTTTGTCTTGAAAAGCTCGCTGAAGCAGATGAAGCAAGATGCAGCTGAACCCAACTCCTGGAGAGACTGCCCAGACTCTCCTCCTTCAACACACAGCTCCCTGAGAGAAGCCGGTTCTGGAATTTACTCTGACACCCATCGCTTCTCACTGCGGTTGGGGTGGCAGCTTGAACTGCAATGAAAAGTACCCACTTATTTCCTTCCAAATACAGATGGGGAGAGCATTAGCGGGGCCAAAGCTGCCAAAATGTGAACTCCAAAAGGGGCTGAACTCAGGGATGATCACAACTATAGGGAAGAAAATAGTCCAGAATAATGAAACTACAGCAGTTTATGAAAATGTGGCAGTTTGTGGTTCTGAATATCCCATACTAGAAATAAATAGAAAAGCACCACATCTCAAATTATCTGTTTTTGTTTTGAAATTTATTTCATGCTTTAGATTTACTGGACTTTAAAAAAAAAAAAAGGACGTTAACAGAAAAAGATAGTGCCAGTAACAATTTTGCCTACTGCTAGAGACCTAGATATGTGGCAACTAGAAAAGAAACAAATAATCATTTCAGCGTAAACTGTCTCAGAAATCTGGGACATCAAGGCTTGGTCCCTTTGGGCTTTTCACTTGGAAAGAATGATGTGCCTTTTCTTAAAGTTGTCTTTATGCTCCAAGCCTTTTAAAATCTCATTCATAAGCTAAATGACTTTTAAAATGACTTTATCTTTGAACCAGATAGCAAAGTGTTGCCTTGTTACAAGAGGCTTTATTATTTGTTCTGTTTCTTGTTTTGTTTTACTGTAATTGCTATTTTTACTTTTAAAAAAATATTCCATTTCTTTTTCAAGCATCTTTCTCAGTTAACTATATTTGGGGTAAATAAAAATAGTGAGGGTTATTCAGTACTAAGTGTCTTTAAGGAATAAATGTGAAGACCCCTGAATTAAAGGTCCAAAGCAAGAAAAGGTAAAAAGATGAAGAATAATGAAGCAAGAAGATGATGCTACAGGCTACAGCCCTGAGGGTTTTGCCTTAAATTAGAGTCACAGACAATAGGAGAAGAGGTGAACTCATTTGTCAACAAGATATGAGAATAAACCACTCATACTGAGAAATGCTTTGTGGCTTCATGAAACCACTGCCACCCTTATGATTCAAATTACTCATGTGGATAAATAATAAGTAAAAAAGATTATCATGTAAGATTTTAACACAATCTACTTAGCAACAATATCCCAATAATCCCCTGGAGGAGGAAATGGCAACCCACTCCAGTATTCTTGCCTGGAAAATTCCATGGACAGAGGAGCCTGGCAGGCTACAATCCATGGGGAGAGAAAGAGTCAGACACGACTGAGCAACTGAGCCCAACACAGCAACAATCTCAATAAATACATCACGAGAAAGTCTTCAACCCCCTGGATCCTACTGAGCATAGGTCCTGCTGCCTGACAACTAGCCACTTAATGAGTCACTAAAAGCAGCAGCCAGAAGATGCTGCTTGTCAAATGTACCTTTCTAAAAATACTTAGATCGCGTCATTTCCCTACTTAATACCTATTCCAGCTTCTTGTTGACAATGGAAATGGCCCAAACTCCTGAATAGGGCACGACTGTCCTTTATTAGCTGGCCCAGCACTACATGTCTGTTCCCATCTCAGCCACTGCTATGAACTGTATTGTCCCCCACTCCCCAAATTCACATGATGACCCCCTACTCCCCATGTGATGGAGTATTCCCTGGTGGCTCAGTTGGTAAAGAATCTACCTGCAATGCAGGAGACTGCTGGCAATGCAGGACACTCAGTTTCCATCCCTGGGTAGGGAAGATTCCCTGGAGGAGGTCATGGCAATCCCCTCCAGTATTCTTGCCTGGAGAATCCCATGGACAGAGGAGCCTGATGGGCTACGGTCCAAATGGTTGCAAAGAATTAGACATAACTGAAGCAGCTTTCCATACACACAAATTGAAAAATGGCAGCTCACCAATGTCATTTTCATCCAGATGACTTAAAATATTTGTTGCTTACTGGAGGGGCTATACCACTTAAACTTGGGCAATATATTACAACATATGAGCATTTATCCATTCATTTCTTTGGAAACCTGGTCTTATATGTGTCTGCTTTTTATGACTAGTCTCAGTTAATGTAAGCATGTTATTCTGAAGATTTATCCTTTGGTTAACCTTTAATCAAAATGTCTGCATTCATTTTTCTTATTTTCAAGCCCCAACATAAGTAGTGCTTCATCTAAAAATCCTTCACCCCTTTACCTGTGCTCTCTTGAGTTTTCTTTTGCACATTAGCGATAGCACAGTGTATTAGTGATGCACCTGTGGTATTTGATCGGCTTACCCAGCCGCCTCCTTCAGGCTAGGTGGCTGCCATGCGCACCTTTGTATCCTATTCATTATTACAGAGTCAGACACAGTTTTTGTTCAACACCTGACATCCTGAGAGCCAAGCTCCAGTCTAATGAGTTTTAACACTAGGCAGAGTTTGATCTTATTCACTCATTCATGCATCCAACCAAAATTAACTGAGCACTTACCATATGCCAGGTACCTATTTGTGCCAGAAGCTGAAAGTACTGAGACTAATAAGACTTGGTCCCGTCTAGCTCATTAATCCAGGAAACTTTGGTTGTATGTGAGAGAGGGTTTTCTAAGACACTCATGGAAATAGTCTGATGGAAAACAAAGGCAAAATTTTCTGTGCGTCTTCAGTACTGTTATACAGGCATAAAATCTCTGTTTCAGAGAGAAATGCCACATCTCATATATTCTGAAAGTAGAGTTTGACACTTAAAACATGAAAGTAGTTGTTTAACATTGTCTATGCGACTGGTAAACTGTATTTTAGATACTGTGAGTACGAACATCAGACACAATACCTGTCCTTAAGTCTACATTGCATTCATCAATGATAAACACCTGTGTTGAAAATAATTTTAGCAGTGTAGAGATTTCTATTAGCATACAATTTAAATTTAGGTTGCAAAAGCCTAAATGGTATTTCGAGATTAACAATGATTCAACAAGAGTCTACTTTCAATAACATTAATGAGACTGCGAAATATGTTTTAGCATTCAGAAGGAATGGAGATAGAATTCAACTTAAGATTCAGAAGCAGTTTATTCTCTTCCTGCCATTCCAACACATGCCTTGTCTTTCTTTTTTTCTGTTCTTCTAATTATGGTGTTCACAGCCTGTGAAGCTGACTGGCCATTGTCAGCAAAACTTCCACAGTTTTTTATATTAGTTTGGAATTAGAAACATCAATTACAAACCAATTCTGTAATGTCCACTAATACGACCTGTTACTGCTTAGTTGGTGACCCTTACTATGTTGATTTTTTGTTTCTTTGTTTTTGTACTTGTATTACAAGTTTCTTTCATTTGTCATTTGAAAAGGCGCTCCCATATTGCCTTTTGGAACACAGACAATTTTGTACCCAAATTGGTATTATTATCTCCAGGCATTGATTTGACCAGATGGGTAAGTTATTCTGAATAATAATGATGTATACTTTGTAGTACAAGTAAATACTATGTTCATAGAAAGAACAGCCCTGAAAAGAGTACAGTAAGTTGAAATGTTAAAATTTTATTTTGATTTTTCCCATAGAAACAATGTTACAATAGAGTTCCCAACCAGAAGCCCCATGCCCAAATTCTATAAATTATGTCAAATGTCATACTAAATAAAAATAAGTAGCACATCATTTGAAGAGTGTCATTTTTCTGAAGTCCATATAGATCAATTAGAAAAATGCAAAAACTAACCATCAAGAGAAAATTGCACTTCATATGACAGGCTAGGTGAGATGAACTTGTTGGTCTTTTGGTGAATTCCAAGTCAGGATCCACTTCTTCAAAAGCGATTGGACCTACATTTTGCTTATGTCTGATCTTATCTATAAGGACATGAGTGCATGCTAAGTGACTTCAGTCATGCCGATTCTTTGCAGCCCCAAGGACTGAAGCCTGCCAGGCTCCTCTATCCATGGGATTCTCCAGGCAAGAATACTGGAGTGGAGAGTCATTCCCTTCTCCAGGGATCTTCCTGACCCAGGGATCAAACCTGCATCTCTTACATCTCCTCCATTGGCAGATGGGTTCCTTACCACTAGCGCCACCTGGGAAGCCCATCTATAAGTACATACACATGCAAAAGCTGCCTGAACAGAAGTTTTGGCTTGCTTTTCATGTTTCTGAAGATGCCCAT